TGTTTAAAAATACTATTTCTGACGTCATTGATGTTACTTCCAGGAGTCCCTCAAGATAGCCACCTAGGCCCAGTTCTGTTCTTGCTTTTTATAAACCATATTTCTACAGATATAAAATTTTTAAAAATTTTCATGTACGCAGATGATGTGAAACTTTAGAAATCGTACGTATCAATCAAAGAAAAGCATTTGCTACAAGCAGACTTAAACAAGATGGCTAACTGGTACTATGTAAATCGTATTTCTCTAAATCTGGAAAAATGTAAAGTAATGTGCTTCTCGCGAAGAACTGTTCAGCCACTTTCTTATACAATAGATAACCATAATTTGGAACAGGTATACAATTTTGGGGACCTTGGTATCACAATGGATGCGAAACTTAATTTTAATCTTCACATTAATGTGACAGTCAACAAAGCTAAAGGTGTACTTGCATTTTTGAAACGATGGTCAAAAGAATTTAGTGACCCTTATATCACTAAAACCCTGTTTACAACATTAGTTAGGCCGATTCTGGAATACGGCTCGGTGGTTTGGAATCCAANAAAATTGAAAATATTGGTTCCGTACGTCATGCGGACTGCGCCCCTCGTGTGGATGGGCGGGAATGGAGGGTAAAAACCGTTGGGATTATTATTATTATTATTATTAAAATCGAGGGATGTATGTGACACTATGATATCGCTTCGTATCGTTGGTTGTTTTCGTATTCGGTACTCTGTTGAATTCCTTGTTTATTTCTGAAGTTTTTTATTTTATTAAACTTTGTATTAAGTGGTGCGGGTAGTTGTTGATTGCAAGAATTTTGTTTATTTTCATTAGGTTCGTGTCTTTAAATTGTTGGCGACTTATTTTTAGTATTTTGTGAATTAGATTTTTCGCTGTGTTCACTTTGTACTTTAAGGGTTGCGAAGACAAGTAATTTATTAAACGCCCAGAGGAAATAGGTCTTGAGTACCAGTCAAGTAGAATGGCGTTACTTTTGCGGTGGATCGTGACATCCACAAATGGTATATGGAAATTGTTCTCTGATTCCATAGTGAACTGTAATTTAGGATGATATTCGTTGAGTGTTTTGAGAATAATATCCGCATTATTTCGTTTTATAATAGCAAATATATCGTCTACGTACTTGACAATGAACTTGACGTCAATGTTGAAATTTTCTTTGAGGTTTGAAAAGGTGTTGTCTAATAGGTCATCCATTACAACGTCAGCTATTGTAGGTGCGTAGAAGTTTCCATTGCATTCGAAACAGTTGTTGTCTTTCAGATAAAAGTTTAAAATAGAACCAAAGAAACAACCAGATGTAAACTGAACAATCAAATTATGCAATTCAGGAGGAATATAAGACAAAATTCAGCAGAAAAGATCATATTAGAAACGTTCAACAGAACCAAAACTTTTTTAAAAAAGCATAAAGATGAGATTGTTCTGACGGATGTGGATAAACGAAATAAAACTGTGATACTATTTATACAAAGCGGACTACACGGGCAAGATGAAAAAGCTACTGGAGGACAAAAGCACCTACAAAACAATAAGAAACGATAAAACAATCACGCTACAGAGGAAAAACAACACCACGATCTATACAGAAACAAAATTATTGAAGAGAGAAACAACAACTCACGTGCACCGCAGTGACGGCACCTACACTTTATGAAAAGCTGCACAAACCGGACTTGTCTTTTCGGCCAATTTCTTTGTCGGTTAATGTCCCTTGTTACGGTTTATCTAAACATGTAGATAAAACACTTAAAAAGTTCACTTCCGAAAAATACAACATTAAAAATGCGTTTCAACTCAAAGAAAGATTGTAGAATATAAAAATAGGTGAGGAAGAATTGTTGGTGTCCTTTGATGTGATCCTTTATTCACAAATATTCCAACACACTTGGCAGGTAAAATTATTATGAAAAAGTGAAACAAAATTCAGCAGACCACAGGAATCCCCAAAAACAAATTCCAAAATATTTTAAACATTTATCTGAAAGACAACAACTATTTCGAATGCAACGGAAACTTCTACGCACAAACTTTTGCGATGCCAATGGGCAACCCCCTTTCACCTACAATAGCTGACGTTGTAATGGATCATGATTCACTAATTAAAGGTTTGCTCATTATTGACATTAGAGTTTTGACACTCCCTTAGCTCCCTTACAAAAGCTTTGCACACACACACGAACCCACACACAATGCTTTGCTAAGGGAGCCGATTTTGTCAAGAGGGAGCGAGAAAACTGCTTTTTGAGCAAACCTTTTATTATTGAATCATGGTAATGGATTACCTATTAGACAACACTAGGGCTGCCAGACGTCCCGGTTTTCCCGGACATGTCCCGGTTTTATAATGGATTACCTATTAGACAACACTAGGGCTGCCAGACGCCCCGGTTTTCCCGGACATGTCCCGGTTTTAGACTATTTGTCCCGGTGTCCCGGTCCAACCTTAAAATGTCCCGGGTTTCGTTTAAGTTTCCCGTTTTTCGATTTGATTGCACAAATTTTGCATAAAAATGACTACACTGAGAGATAAAACGCGTTGTAATATTAAGAAAAATTTGATGAATTTACTGGGGGAAATAACGCATAGTAAACATGAATATTTTTTATTTGATTATCATTTTAAAATTTTCGTATTTAAAAACAATACTTTCATACCACGCACACGTGGTGTTGAATCAAACTGAACATTTTAATGCACATTTATGTACATGTCTGGCTGTAGCTGAGTGCACGAAGATGCTTGCCACAATTTGCTAATTTCCAGAGCGTCAGGGTTCAAATCCCATTACAGGCAGCATGGAATTTAAATATTTTTTAACTTTATTATGAAAAAGCATCCGTTAAGTGCAAAGCGCTTCATTTAATTTTTTGCGTATTTCAATTGAATAATTCTATACTAAATACTAAAATTTGTATACTTAAATTTATTACGAGTTGGGTTAGTGCTCTTTCATATGCGATTTTTTATTTTAATTTAGCAATAGTAAATGATTAATATAAGTATGTACCTAAATACGTTAAAATGACATGCACAGAGTTTTACAATTATATTAAGCAAAAGCCAGAAGTTTTGAAACAAGTTCACAGCAACGAAACAAATGACTGATATTTTGTTGTTACCTTGTATTTAATTTTTTTTCTTTCGTGAGACCTAGATTACTTGATAAGTACCGTGCCGTACAAAATTATTGGCTCGGAGACTCTTTCATCTGATCACAATTTCTAATCAGATTTTTTAGACAAATTTTGAAAATGTAGCTTTAGTAAAGTGCAAGTCTCAAGTTACCAAAAAATTTCGTTGATTTTTTGCAATTATTTATTTTTTGCTGACACTGTCACACTGTTCACATANGGCTCGGAGACTCTTTCATCTGATCACAATTTCTAATCAGATTTTTTAGACAAATTTTGAAAATGTAGCTTTAGTAAAGTGCAAGTCTCAAGTTACCAAAAAATTTCGTTGATTTTTTGCAATTATTTATTTTTTGCTGACACTGTCACACTGTTCACATACAAAAAAATCTCGAATATAGTTTGTATGGAAGAAACTCTCAGTAAAAACCATACCAAAAATCAAATAAATTTTTATGCGTTGCAAAACTTCATTTTCAAAATTTTTATAAAAAAGTCTGAATAGAAAGTTTCGAATTTGTATGCAAATTTATTGCATTTTCCCGAGTTTTGCACAAAGTTTAGACATTTTATTTTTATGTTTTCTGATGTATTTAGTATAAACTGTATTTTTATAAGGAACAAAAAAGGTACATGCATTGTGCAAAATTCTGTGTGCTTTAGTTGTGATAAATTGTTTTGTTTTGCTGGTGTACCTTGTAATGATCTCATGATCTCATGTTTTTATGTTTTTGTTTTTGTTTGTCAAAATAAAATTTTACTACATCCTTTCGTACGTAATTTTTGTCGAAACGAAAGGGAAGGGAGCGAGAGGCCTCTCCCCCACTTAAGTGTCCCGGTTTGGCAACAGAGATATCTGGCAGCCCTAGACAACACTTTTACAAACATCAAAGAAAATTTCAACATTGACATCAAGGTCATTGCCAAGTACGTTGACGATATATTTGCTATTATAAAACGAAATAATGCGGATATTATTCTCAAAACACTCAACGAATATCATCCTAAATTACAATTCGCTATGGAATCAGAGAACAATTTCCGTATACCATTTTTGGATGTCAAGATCCACTGAAAAAGTAACGCCATTCTACTTGACTGGTACTCAAGACCTACTTCCTCTGGGCGTTTAATAAATTACTTGTCTTCGCAACCCTTAAAGTAATTCACAAAATACTAACAATAAGGCTTTCTGCACATTGGTCGTCCAATCATAGTTGCTTCATCGTACAATCATGATGCAACGATTACATGACGACTACACTTTCGCACACTCGGTCGTGATATTTCAATTCATTTGGCGATCGCCCACTGCCCTCACCAGAACCAGACTTCGCTTCCTAGGATAACCGTATCTAGAAGCACACGACCTAATGGCATTCAGCCAAAGGACCTCGCGAGGTTAATTAGCAATACGTGGATTAAAGATGACCTGTAGTTAAATAGAGGTTTGTTACAATAGATCGTTTTCGGTAACTAGGTGACCTGCTCCCTCCTCTAAATCTAATCTCATCAGCTTTATTTCACTGAAAATTTTATCAAAAAGCTGCAACCAGCTTTAGTGTAGATTTTTGACTATAAATGCGCCCTACTATTTTTAAAGATTTCAGTCAAAATTTGTAGGTGTGTGTGGAAATGCAAACAAAATATTTCAATTTGACATTCTAAGCCGTGACGCGAAACATATATACGAAATCAGTTGATCTAGTAACATCACCTTGTATAAATTCGCCTTGCTACTCTACACATTTTTCAATGCGTCTAAAACTTTGTACTTTGTAGTTCTTAGTTCATTCGCAATTTTCTAGAGGGTTAGACCTATTGTTTTAATAATAATAATAATTTAAACAACTTACTCTTGCAGTTGAGATATATTCCTTTCCTGAGCATATACCTTTGCCGCGGGAAGCAAACCAAAATGCGCAACCAATAGATTCGTCTAAAACCGTATTTAATGGGTATAAAAGATGTTTAATATGATTTCGTAAATTATCATGAAGCTCTTCTCGCCGTACGTTAACTTCCACGTAGTTCCACCTCCTGAAAAAAACATGGTAATGTAAATGGGTGTTGTCTGGTTTGATAATAAATTACCGTCGTGGATATATGTTTTTTAGCTCCATGAGAGAAGATTTAGCAGACAATCTATCAGGCACGTCCCAGCTTATACGTCCTGTACTATCTAACTTTTCAAATGCTACATTAATTAGATCAATGGGATCATTTTCTTTGACATATTTATTTGATAAAGCGGCTAGAATCGAACAGTCGATGCCTCCGGAAAAGAGGATAGCGATTTTGGCATGGTTGCAGTTTCTCCGATCATGTAAGCAATTGATACAATAAGGCGTAGTTTGTCTTACACGATTTTTCACAGATTCTTCGATAAGAAATGAAAAATGTTCCAGTTCAAGTAATAAATCTTGATTCTCCAACAAAGCCTCAAACAAATCACAGGAGGACGCCAGGCTTCTACACAATGCATACAAATCGAAAGATTTCTGTTGAAAAAATACAATTGGATTAATGATTGGAATTTACATATCGACAGCTGAGTGGAAGATCGACCTATCTCGGCAACCAGCTCAAAAACGCTCTATCTCAAACAACTTTTTAAGAACGGCCTATTTCAGAATTCGTTTTAAAAACGCCCTATCTCAGCTGCCAATTCAAAAACGCTCTATATCAGCACATTTTCAATACATTTTGAAGTGAGATAGGGCGTTCTTCAACCAAATTCTGAGATAGGGTGTTTTTCAATAAAATTCTGATATAGGGCGTTCTTGAAAAGTTTTTTGTGATATGTACCTACCTACTTGTATATACATATGTACATATATACAACATGGCAAAAGGTCCTGAATTGTATTATTTCAGAAACGAGTTCTTTTAACATTCGGTACATTTTGTCAGACATACCCCCCCACTTAAATGTTCAAAGCGGTATATTACAGGGACCTAAAAAAACTGTTCTGAACCAAAAAGTGGGCCCAATTTAGAAATCTAAACAAAGAGTTGGTTCACAAGAGTTCATGGATGAGAAATTTTTTGTACGCTGCAATGGGAAAGAAATATTTTTAACGTTTATTAACCATACAAATTTTTAGCGATTTTATTCATTTGATTTGATTTATAACTACTATTTTTCAACATATACATATATTTGAAGTTGCTTCGTAAAAATAAGAAGCCAAATAAAAAACCGGAAAGCAAAATACCGTCCATTTTGGTGTTTTGAAAAAATGCGTACAGCGACCAGTGTTCGCTTATTCGCCTTTTTTCCAAATTCGTTCTCGAGTTATTAGCAATATGGTAACCCAACAAACATTTGGGTTCCCTCGCTAGGGCAGGCACCTGGTCGTTGGTGCGGGGTTGACCAGCCCCATACCTGGTTTGGGGCATCGTTGACGCGCTTGTAGCTTCCGCGCAGTGTTTTCTCCAGGGTGGGGCTGATGGTGATCGGTGACCAAGAACTGCCGCCTCCTAATCCAGGGTGTGATGCGACACCGTGCCTATTAGACGGCTTGCAGCCAGGAGGGAATGGCTCTATTTTAACGGCGCCTCTTAGACAACGGGCCGCATCGAGGAGTAACGGTGGCGCGGTGGACTTGATGAGATCCCCTCCAACTATTTTGACTGCTAAGCTCGCCTCGTCGGGCAGGCAGTCGTACGAACAAGATATTACAAACTCACAAAAATAAAACAACCAAAACAAAATCAACAACAATGGCAACCACTTCAAACGCAGCGGTAAAAGCGACGGAAGCGCCGACTACATAAGGTACGCCAGCAACAGCAATAGGTCCAACAGTAGGTTTCCTTGAGCGCTTAGCCGCAGAGGAGCCAGTTGAGCACGCCAGTGAGGATGACCAGAAATCCAGCACCAGCAGGGGTGTCAGAGATTGGTCACGGCATCGGTCTGGCAGTCCCAAGCAACAAGCGGCCCAATTATGAAAACTCCCGGGGAGTTTGTTCTCCGGGAATTTTGTTTCTCCCGAGAAAGAAATCCTCCAATTCTTAACTCTTACGAGAGTAGCATTTTCCCCGAAATTTGGGAGAAGGAAATCCGAACTTCGAAAGAGCTGTTTGACTGTTTTTTGACAGCTCAACTCCGCCATTTAAAAGAAAAAATCCACAGGGAATTTTTATTCATGATAGGAGGAAAGGGAGAAGATAGAAAACTCCCCGGGAATGTAGGTTGTAGGTATGGTCGAGTACAACATGAAAATAGGTCCCGTATGATTCCTGAACCCTCCATTCTTTTATACCAAAAAACCGTTATTTTCGTACTTGATGCACTTATCTATTAATAGCTTGACTATTTTCCATCCGATTTTAAAAATCGAACAAGTTTTGAAAAGAGGATTTATAGACCTTTAAAACATTTTATAACAATATATTGTTAGACTTGGCTTGTTGGGAGTTTTCATCGGTTAAATTTTAATGGGCCCCTATTTCTCTTCATTTTTTCAACTTTGATCATCACTAATTTCAAAAATGTCTATGAAAGTTGCCGAATATGTGGTATTTATCTAAAAGAACATTTATTTTCGAATAAATTGATACCTCACCTAATGGAATTGCATAAAAATTGTCGAAGTAAAACAATTTAAGCAAAAATACGGCCTTGAATTTATTTGTGTGTGTGTACCGGACGTGCAGATTTTTTGAGCAGTGTGGCGAAGGAGTTCATCAATATTTACTTTATTCATCATATTTAATGTACGCTCATATTCTCTCGTTCCCACGACAGTCGGGTCTACGTAACCGGAACGACCCAGATTTATATCTGGCCAAGGACTGCCACTCCAGCAACACTCCCCAAAAACTCTTTCGGGAATCTGTATGCTGTTACAACAACAAGAACAATCAATATTTACTCAAAACTGATATATACAATGTCTCGTAAACAAAAAAAAATTTTTTTTTTTTTAATTTTGGGAAAATGGGCATGGCACCGCCCACTTAAATCACATATGCGTATATAAAAACTACTTTACCGATATCGACCACAGATTGTGCTTGGCCTCGTTAAGCAGCGTGTTGAATATTTTTAAAATCAGAAAATTCAATTTCATAAGTACAACTGTTTCACAGAGCCTTTGCGAATTATGGTGCAATTACATGGTATGAAGGTCGGCGAAAATCCTCCTAGATACTTATATCCTACAAGCGGGTGCCGACTGGCCAATGGGCATCGCTGTTAACACCGCTATTGCAAAGTAGGCTTGTTTTTATGAAGCAGTCGTGCAAGCTGGCGGGGGCTAGCTACGCCCGAGGTATAAACTCTCCACTACCACCGGCGGGCATAGCGATAACGTAGGCTGTGTCGCCTGCGGCCACACCTCTACTGTGGAGGGAGCAGTCCACAGTGGTTCTAGTACTACTGCCAGACACGGCTTGCCGCGCAATTGTGCCATAGTCCTAGAAGACTCGAACCAGCAAAGCGCGGTAAGCCTAAGCACGAACAGAGAAGAGGCTCTTCTAAGCTCTCCGGGCAAATCTGAGGATGTTCTTCCTGAACGGAGGAAAAGACCGACGACGAGGGCAAGCAAGCAAGGATTGAAGAGTAAGGCGCGATATAGGGCTGCGGTCAAAATATGCGACCGACTTAGTGATAGGTCCAACCGGACTGAGGAGGAGGAGAAAATGTTGGCTTGCGCTAGGGAGGAGGTAGAGAACGGTCCTACTACGCTGCGAAGCCAGTATTTCAGCTAAGGATCCACAGTTCGCAAACCGGATCGTGGAGCAGATTGTGGCGGCGCAGGCGAGCAAAAGGCAGCGTCCTGTGAAAGAAGAGGCAGCAAAGCCTCTAAAGAAACATAAATGTAGGGACGAGGCTACAAGGAGGCCCAAGGTCATACAGCTGCCACCTACATCCAAGGCAGCGGCACACAAAGGGGTATTTGAACGATTGAGGCGGCCATCAACCAATTTGACACAAGTTTGAAGGAAACTTAAAAAAATAGTCACGTTCGATAGAAAACATTTCAAATAACATTTCCCAGTCCCCCTCACTTTTCTAAATTGGACAGCGAACGCTCACCGTTGACCGGAAACAGAATATTCTAACGCTGCTTATAAATAAATTTTCGATATCTAGAAAGATCGTGACGGTTTTAAGTTAATATTTTGATTTCTGCATTGTATTCTTAAAAAGTAGTGATGGATCCGCATACAGGCGGTAATAATGCATTTAAGTGTTAATTTTTATTAACATTTCATTAAGCAAAAGTTTAATTTAAATGTAATGAAAATAGCTGGTTTCAAAGAGTATTTTTTTACATTTTTGTGGAATATTAAGGAATTTGTTGTATCCCCGGGAGAGATCGCGTTATTATTCATTGTTCAATTGAAAGCTTAGAAATTTGGCTAATGTAGTGTGAAAAGATTGCCCGCAGAAAATGTTAGATAAGTGGTATTTCTTTACTTAGAAAATGTATTAAAGAAGAATCTAAAAACGCAACTAGTATATAGTAACAGTACTTTAGATCTATTTTAACACCAAATTTCAACTTTTTAGATGAATTTGAGGCCGCTGAATCAGAATATGAATATATTTAATTTAAAAAGAATAGTTTTCGAGATATAAGCAAACGTGATGTTTTTTGGACCTTTGGGTCCTGTAGCTAGAAATCTGCGGGAATGTAAGGTGAACCTAACTATATTATGTATTTCGGAATAAACATTTGTTTTCCTTTACATTGGTGTTATATTACTGATGATAAAAAAAATAGTTTTGGGTATACAAGCGTTTAAATTAAGATAAATCTTTAAATTTAGATAAATCTACGATATTTCAGTAAATATTGTGTTTAGGCCTCCACGCTAAACCAAGTAACTAAACGGGTGAACCACCTAATGTGAAAATGCACTTTCATGCAACCGAGCATATCCACACACTCACATAAATGTGTATATATATGACCAAATAACTGATACGCCGTTAGTAAATACATATGAATGTCCTTTTCCGTTGAATAAATTTTCGTTAAGTTTCCCCTCCAAACAGTTGGCTGCTTGGCGGGTAAACTTATTTCCATTAAAAAGAGCTCGGCCACTTGTATCGAGCACTTCGACCACACCGAAAGCGATCCAGCCACTACGCCTGCGTATTTCTCAAGGTAATATTCTATACCAAAAATCACAATACATATTTCACCAATTTGACTAATAAAGCTACTGTGTTATATATTGAATTAATCCGTGGTGTTTGTTTTTGATTATTTCATTTCAAAATTAAACCCTTGGTGCATCTACGAGCGACGTTGCCCCAAGCGTTTCCGTATTGTATCCAAAGNAATCACAATACATATTTCACCAATTTGACTAATAAAGCTACTGTGTTATATATTGAATTAATCCGTGGTGTTTGTTTTTGATTATTTCATTTCAAAATTAAACCCTTGGTGCATCTACGGGCGACGTTGCCCCAAGCGTTTCCGTATTGTATCCAAATTGTTGAAAATTGGTATGTGAAGTAAAATTTTGGAACAAATTA